CCAGAAGCTGAGCCGCGGTGCCCCAAAAAGTTACAAGTCAATCGTTCTTAACGTTTACAGCTCATCACACGATCTATTTACTGGATCCTTTAAAGGTGTATTCAAACACTAAAGACGCGCCTCACACTGTCACAAGGGACGTACATGTTCTTCCAGAGCAAAATGCCAACATTAGCAATGTGAACTGTTGTTACTTTCTAACGATAAAATCTCCAAAGGTAATTTTAAGTTGTGATAAAATCCAGCAACGTCGTGATCGTGAGCCCAATGGGAATTTTGCATAAATTTGCACTCACAAAATAATCGGCAGTAACTTCCAGGTATTATAAGCATTTGTAAGGGCCACTTGTGCAAGCAAGGGTTTATAGACTCATAAATATTTTCCTCTTCCTGTTTAATCTAAATATATAGAATCAATTTTCCTACAAATTTTAGAACAATCAAAATCTGTATTAGTGGTAAAATAAAATATTAAATGTAAAAAAAAATTAGATTGAATAAACATGAGAAAAAGCAACTTTGAAGCTATAAAAAAAAGTTCAAATTACCTTATCCTCAGCAAAATAACCTTAATCCCTGTGACAGCTACAGATCTATTCTTATCTCAAATATCATGAGCTGGTTTTACATCTTTTTCCTGGCAAGAGCTTCTGATATATCAACTGATCTGGCAAAAGAAGCACATTTAGTGAAGATTCAACAGGCAATGTAACATTATTTATGCAGTACCTAAAGTAAGTGACCATTTTGCAGAACAATTAAAAGAACTGCATCCTAGAAAATAACAATGTAAATTTTCTGTGTATAGAACATCAATTTGAGCAACAAAAACAGTAAGGATGGAGAAAACAAGGAAAGAAGGGCAGTAGCAACAATAATATGATTTCAGAGTTACTTAAAATAACTTATGTGCATCTTCAGGTCATTTTCTTTATCCTTTGTTACTTTGAAAGATATCTGTACTAAAAGGAATGGAAGAAACTAAGGCATAAAGCCCTAGGCCTTATGCTCTTATTGAAAATCACATGCTTTTATCTGGAACACCATAGCAGTCTAGCTGGTAAGACCTGAGGCTGTGTGGAACAACAGGACCTTCACAGAAAAACTGAAAAGCTAATTAAGACCATCTCCAAAAAGATTATTTTTTTCTGAGAAAATGAAGCATGTGCTTCTGTTTCTAGCTTTCAAACCACAGGCAATAGAGAGAAACAACCATTTAAAAAAACACTGTGTTTTGCCCCTGCAGTGCCAGCACAGGGAGCACAAGTTGTAACAGATACTTCTTTTGGATTTCTAATGACACAGCTGGTGATGTTGATAAACAGTGAAAGCTAGCAAGAACATTTCAATTTTAAAAAACCCAATTAATTACAAACTTGGTAAAAAATACAGGAAAAAATGTGTAAAAATATTCTATGTGTAATTCTTTTTTAAGTAACATTGAATCAGGATAGAATCTATCTTCCCAACCATTTCTGCACCTCTTCATAATGGTCTTGTTAATGTAGTGACATACACAGCATGTTTCAGAAAGAAAAAGCCTGTTTGCTGAAACTTCTCAGATAATATTAACAGCTCTGTTTTGCAACACAGATCACATTGCCTAGGTGATAAGGGAAGTTTCGTATTGGAAGAATTTTCGTACTGATGGAATACTTTTTTTTTCCTGTGAGGTTCTATATGAAAACATCTTGCTGTCCTTATTGCTGTACATTTACAATCTTTGCATCGTCTCTGGAACTGGTGACCACAGCTAGACAAGCTCTCTGTTTAGGGGATAAAGGTCCCCTATGTAAACTACCTCGCTAGTGGCATATTTAACTCTGACTTCATACATGGAATGTTCTACAGGATCTTGGGGAAGCTGCCTTGGGGCTACAGACTGTCATAAAAAAACCCCCACAACAGAAAACAGTTGTGGTATTACTTAAATATTTGTAAATAATGCTTTTGTGCCTCTTACTGTTTATGGTTCAAGACTTACATGTAGAATGGACACACCTGAAAGCTATATCCAGGAGTACATTTTGATATGTATGACTCATTCTCCTGTCAAAATACGCAGCTGAAATTCTGGCAACTCACAGGAGAAGGATGTAGGCTCCCCTTGTTGAACTTCATGAGATTCCTCTTGGCCCATTTCTCCAGCTTGCCCAGGTCCCTCTGAATGGCAGCATAACCATCCAGTGTTTCAGCCACTCCTCCCAGTTTCATATCAACTGCAAATTTGTGTAGGCTGCACTCTGTCTCATCATACAGGTCGTTAATGGAGATGTTAAACAGTACTGGCCCCAGTATGAAACCCTAGGGAGCTCTAGTGTTTTGCCTCCAACCGGACTGTATACTGCTGATCACAGCCCTCCAGGACTGGTGGTTCAGCCAGTTTTCAACCCGCCTCACTGTACACTTAACTAATACATACTTTGTCAGCTTGTCTGTGGGATGTTATCAGATATAACATCAAAAGCCTTACCAAAGTTGAGATAAGCAACATCTACTGCTCTCCCCTCACCCACCAAGCTAGTTGTCTCATTGTAGAAGGCTATCAGGTTAATAAAGCATGATTTCCCCTTTGTAAATCAATGCTGACTACTCCCAATCACCTTCTTGTCTTTAACATGTGTGGAAACAGTTTCCAGGACTATTTTCTCCATCACCTTCCCAGGTTACAATGGAAGCTACAATGAAGTACAAAGAGTACAGCTTGGTTTGGTGTTTTTAAGAATATGTTACGAATTTAAGAGTATCAGTTCCACCTCTTAAAAACAGTATCAGACCAAAGGTCTAGCTAACCAAAGAACTGGTCTCTGAAGGTTTCAACAGTGAATGCCCTTGGAAAAAGTATAAAAATTGGTCAAATGCATAGTAAAGCTTCTCCAGAACACTCTTCTAGCCTTCAACAATTAGCAATTCAGGGACATCCTGTGCCAGAAATGGTGTTTCTGGTAATTCCTCATAGATTTTTCTTCCATTAATTTGTCCAATCAATTTTTAAGCCCATGTAAATTAATAACATCTACTCCTGTAGTAAGGAATTCCTCGGCGTAACTGCATACTGACTGAAGAACCACCTTCTCTAACTGAAAGAAGTTAACTTATTTGTATCTCATCTCATGTAGCCATGAGCTATGGCTATCTTGGTTGCAGAATGAACTTGAACCTTATCCAATGTAATCTGTAAAAGTTGTGTGAACTGTGAGCTATAGCTTGCAGCTGGCAGCATGTCCCATTCAGATAATGCCAAAAAACTGTCAGCTGACAGTGCATTATGGAATGCAGAAGTGATTCATGAGAATCCAGAGGGGAAGCAGTGCAAAAACCTGATAGCTGAATGGTATGATGTGGGTGTATTAGTTGTCACATTAGCACTCTCTTGATTGGAAACTCAAGGTGTTGCTTTGTCTGGATCCTATTTACTATTGAATTTCTATTGCAGTGCTATCTTCTTTCTGGCTGCCTGTGGCACATACTCTGGACACTAGACTTCCCTCTGCTATTCCTCAAAATGAGACTTCCTCATTCAAATTTCAGTATGATTCTGTCAAATCCAACAGTCAACTCTCTCAAAAAAAAAAAAAAAAAAAAGAAGAAAAGGGACTGTCTCCATCTATTTCAGTAGATTTATCAAAATTTGGGATGCTTGTGTCTGTTCCAACCAGCACTGAGAAATGGTTCTACTCATGGTAAATATGAAAAACTCACAATAAAATTCCCAAAGGTGATTTATTTTTAATTCTCATGAAAACATACACTTTTCTTACAAATTAAGAAGTACTGCAAACCCTTTGAACAGATTGTAAATTACTACCAGAAATGCAAAACACAAGAGTGGAGCCTAACCCATATTTGCCTTCCTCAGTAAAGTATTCTGTGTGTCTTATATAGGGGCTCCTTTCCAGGAAATTCCACTTTGGAAGACCTTTGCTAATCAAAGAACAATAAGCACTCTATACTGCTAAACACACACATATATATATTTTAGAAATTGTACCCACTTTAGAAGTATTGTTTGTAAAGGCAATTCTCTTGTCTTCAAATAAATTTTGATTTACTTTTAAAACTTCTTTTATTTTTTACTTTATAGACTGGGGAATCCAGAAATTGTGTATCTGTAAACTGATCCCCACGCCTTAATTTGCTGTAAACAAAGGAAATAAAAGACATCATGTATGAATATCACCAAGCACCTATGCAACTAGAATTATAATAATTATGTAATTATAATAACAATTCCAAATGGTAAATACTCTCAATGAAAGCTTGATACACTAAAGAAATTAAATTTATGGAAAATAAATATGTCTGAAATAGCAAGGCATGGATAACTACTGTTTTCCAAAATAATGCTAAAAATAGTCGTCTTTTTATGTGGCCTGCATCATATTAATAGGTGAGTAATCATAACTTGTTCCTATAAGACAAAACTCAAAAATGATTTAAATCAAAAGCTTAACAGCATCCATTCAGGACAGTATACTTGAAAATAAAATACAAATAGGAGACAGTAATCTAAAATGTTGGGTGACATCCACATTTTTTTCTGTTATTAGTTACTGTCTCTCTCCAGAAATACAGAACCTTATCATTGTGGGGTAAAAGAGGAGAATGTGTCAATATCATAATATTACAGCATTTTAGCATCCAATTCCATTAGTAAAAGAAAAATTTAACTCTCATCCCTTTGCATTTCTTTTACAAGCTATCTATCTGGCATAAATATTTCTGAAAAGCCAGTGGTAAAGTGAAAAGACACTTCCTACATTACTTTTAGCTCCTATTTGTCCTCGGTCTCATTGCTTCAATTAATTGTTTGCTTACTTACAGAGGTAAACAAAAATATTTTGAGGGTGTATGAAAACATTGTGCTAAATTTTTCAGTTTGTGGACTTATTTTCTTCTCCTCCCACAGTTTTGCCAGAAAAGGAAGACATACTCCTTTTACACCTTTATCATAAAGTAAGTTGCTATAATCCTTTCACTCTCAACACTATTATGGAGAAAACTTGACACTGTCTTTACCTCACAAATATGCATTCTACTAATACGCACACAACACAGTGTAATTTTTCCTTAAATTAATATTATACTTAAAAAACCCAAACAACAAACCAAACAAAAAAACCCAACCAACATTGTAGCAAAAATCTCTCAGAATATTTTCAGAAGTAATCAACTTAAAGGTCCATTGGGATTTAGATCTATTCACGTAAGTGCAAATATATTAGTTTTCTTAATGGAAGTTTGGCTTTAAAATCCTCTTTTAAATTTTAATAGTTATTACACAATTTATGTCTTGTCTTTAAACAATCTCGGAAATCCTGTGCCACTAAATTTGCTAAGAACACTGAGAGGTAAATAACTAATTATCAAATTAATATATCTTAAAAGATTTCGTCTATTAGATACAGCTAGTTAAACCAAAATGACTGAATTATATAAAATTAGTGCATAAATTACCTTGCCACCTGACAATATTACAAGGACATTATTATGGTATAAGTTTACATTTAAGTATAACATTTACAATTATTCACCCTTAAAGGGGTTTATATAATGATAAACATTAAGAATTCACCATTATTCACTACTAGTATAAAATGTTATATTATATACTATATTTAAATTCTGAGACTTGAATACTGTTGGTGTCTTCCTTTGGCACTTGGAAATCCTGCCACACTAACAGGAAATGTTTTATATCAACACTGAAGTATTCTTTGCAAATAGAGATTCGTGAAAGAGAGAGTTCAACTGTTTATTTGGGGGTTTTAATAGCAAATCTTTACTGGGGATAGTTACGTACTCCAAAAAACAAACAGAAGCCCTACCTTTACATATACCTACCTGTTTAGATTGGGTTCTTTGTAGCAAATAGTGGCTCTTCCTCGTCTAGATGGTGCTGCCGAGTTTTCTTCTAAAGTCTTGGGGGATTTAGGTAAGGAAGTGTGAGACTGTATACTAGTATTTGTCAGATCTTGCAAAGCCTTTCTCCCTGTGAATACAGTAGTTTATACACCTCATTTTAAATATTTTCTGAATCATTAAGTAAACTTTCAATTCATAATTATTTTTAATTAGTATTTCTTAATTCAGGTACTTCGGTTACTGCTCCTACTCTAAGATGCTCAACAAAAAATGGGATAGATGATCAAAGAAAATTCCACTACAGCAGCTTTCAACCTACCCAAATTTGGAGCTGTTTGAGGTCTGCCATAGCTCTTGGGACATTTTAAGAAAGCCCCATAAGCACTGTAATTTGCGGTGCTGCTTAAGACTCCCAAGAGTTATTGCATTTAAAAAAGTAAAGCTGCACACAGCTCACGGCCTTGAATGCAGGGGGAGGGCATACATGTATAATCTGAAGATTCAACCTCTACAAGAGTTCTAGTATTGCATTTTCCAACTTTATGCCTGCTCTTTGGGCATATGTGCACAAAATGAGCATAGCACGGTGATTAAATGAGCCTCATCTTCAAAACTGTATACTACCAAGCTATTTACAATGCCTTGTATTTTGAACCACTGAACGTGTCCAAGAGGAATACTCCATAAAAAAAGTAACCAGCTGTGGAAGCCTGGCTAGCTGACCGGGGACATGTGAACATCGAAATGTTAAGTCAACAGAAACTTAATAATTATCGCACACAGCTGGTGTAATAGCCAATGAAAGACAAGACTATTGTAGCTAATAACTCTGATAGTATAGATACTGTTGCAAGTATAGTAGAATGTTTGGCAAAGACACTGTACCCCTATTGTTAGACCATCCGGTTGAAACCGACCTCGCAGTCTGAAGCTCTGCCAACTCAACATTCTGGGCCAAAGGTGAAGGTACCCGGTGAGGAAGACTGTGAATCTTCCTCCAAAAGACCCCAATAGACGACCACCAGACGGCAGTACGCGTGCGCCAGGAGGAGGAACCCTATGATAATAGATTCTTAGAAGTAATTAGAATATCCCACCTTTTCTTAGAACTAATTATACTA